TGTTAAACAGAGACAAGAGTTTTTCAGCACATTTCCAACCATAATAGGTTTAATATCTCATTTCTATTAACTGATTTCTGTCATGTTTGCTGATCTACTGGGATTTTCACGCACAAACATCTCTAGGGTTTACAGAGAATGGCCTAAAAAAGAGGAAATATCCAGTGAGCGGCAGTTCTGTGGGCACAAATGCCTTTTTGATGCCAGAGGTCAGAGGAGAATGGCCAGACTGGTTCCAGCTGATAGAAAGGCAACAGTAACTCAAATAAGCACTCGCTACAACCGAGCTCTGCAGAAGAGCATCTCTGAACACACAACACGTCCAACCTTGAGGCGGATGGGCTACAGCAGCAGAAGAGCACACCGGGTGCCGCTCCTGTCAGCTAAGAACAGGAAACTGAGGCTACAATTCACACAGACTCACCAAAACTGGACAATAGAAGATTGGAGAAACGTTGCTGCTCTGATGAGTCTCCATTTCTGCTGACACATTCGGATGCTCGGCTCAGACAACATGAAAGCATGGATCATCCTGCCTTGTATCAGCGGTTCAGGCTGGTGGTGGTGGTGTAATGGTGTGGGGGAGATTTTCTTTGGGTCCATTAGTACCAATTGAGCATCAGCGCCACAGCCTACCTGAGTATTGCTGCTGACCATGTCCATCCCTTTATGAGCACAGTGTCTCCATCTTCTGATGGCTACTTCCAGCAGGATAACGCAGCATGTCATAAAGCTCAATCATCTCAGACTGGTTTCTTGAACATGACGATGAGTTCACTGTACTCAAATGGCCTCCACAGTCACCAGAGCTCAATCCAATAGAGCAGCTTTGGGATGTGGTGGAACGGGAGATTGGCATCATGGATGTGCAGCCGACAAATCTGCAGCAACTGTGTGATGCTATCATGACAATATGGAGCAAAATCTCTGAGGAATATTTCCAGTAGCTTGTCAAATCTATGCCACCAAGGATTAAGCCAGTTCTAAAGGCATCCCGGGTCCAACCCAGTACTAGTAAGGCGTACCTAATAAAGTGGCCGCCGAGTGTATATTGTAATCAGCATATGAGATTACCTATATCAGGATATGAGATTTATTTCTTTTGTCAAATCTTTTGCAGAGTGAGCCCAAAGCATGCAGACGCTTTAAATAAATAAACAGGACGTCATTTAGAGGAGCACTGCAACAAGTTTCACCAGAACATTTTACGAAAAATCCCAACCCAAGATCAGCAGAATCCGCTGTACAGGACCTGCACTGAAGCACGGCACGCATACCGTAGGCTGTTTATCCAAAAAGGCGGATGCTGGAGGAGATTCACAATCCTAACCTGTGTTTGAGTATGAAGGAGGTGTTTTTGCCATCGCTCTGTGTCAGGAACACGACTGCCTGTTTACTCACACAACAATTATTCAGCCAAATCCCTTTAATGGAGTCCCAGAGTCACTGCACTGCCCGGACACGTCTGACAACACACACCGCAGCAGCACGCATCACATATATGCCACACACACTCACTCACACACACACACTCATTTTATAGTTTTATTTGGATCAAAGAAACAGGCAACACACACACACACACACACACACACATATTTACAAAAAACACACAGTCATTTTTTACTTTAATTTGAACACACTCAAGTGTTGTCACACACAATCACACAAACACACACTCATTTTATACTTTTTATGTGAATTTAAAAGTGGATTCACACACACACACACACACACACACACACACACACACACACACACACACAGACACACACACACACACACACACACACACACGCACGCATGCATGCATAATATACTTTTTATTTAGATTAAAAAGAACAGGCAAAACACACACATGCAGTTACGCACAGACAATTACGCATACACACACACACACACACACTCATTTTATACTTTTATTTGGATACAAAAGAACAGGAAAAACACAAACACACACACACACATACACACACACACACACACACACACACACACTCATTTTATACTTTTATTTAGATTTTAAAAAACAAGCAAAACATACACACACACACACACACACACAGTGTCACACATGCACACACAAACATTTTATACTTTTATTTGAAATGAAAGGAACAGCCAAAACACACACACACACACACACACACACACGCATTTTATACTTCTGTGAATTGAAAAAAAAAAAACAACCAAAACACACACACACACACACACACACACACACACATTTGATGATTTTATTTAGATTAAAAATGAGCAAATCACACACACACACACACAGTGTCACACATGCACACACTCAAGCACACACTCATTTTATACATTTTGATTCAAAAGAGCATGCAAAACACACACACACACAACATCTCACTCTCTCACACACCCACGCCCACACCCACACCCACACAGACACCCACACAGACACCCACACAGACACACACACAGACACACACAGACACACACACAGACACACACAGACACACACAGACACTCACGCACTCATTTTTTACTTTTATATATGAGCAAACACAAACAAACACACACACACAGTCAAGCACACATGCAGAATCACACACACTCACACACTCATTTTATGCCTTTATTTAGATTTAAAAAAAACAAGCTAAACACACACACACATTGTTTTTTTTTACTGTACAAATGGTATTCTCTATCCCCCAGCACGACCCTTTGCAGTAAAGGTGTGCAGTTTTACTCTCCAGAAAAACAACAATAGATCTGTATGATCTAGAAGCCTTTTGAAATACGGGGACATCAGCGATGACCTCATAACTCACCATCTCACCATCTCCTTTAATACCTGCGTGGCATACCCGTGACTTTATACACACTTACATCCTCCCTGATATGTCACACACACCCACACGCTCACACACAGTCACACTGTAACACAGAGACACACACACACACACACACACACACACACACACACACACACACACACACACACACACACACACACACACACACACACACACACACACACACACACACACACACACTTGAAAGCTTCTTTAACACTTTTAACTCAATGTTGTGCCCAGAGGAAATCTTGTTTAATTAGTTCATTATAATGCAATCAAGCAACGCAGCTCAAACCAACAGCAGAAGTACACTCCGTAACAGAATCATCTAAATAAATGTTGATTTTACTCCTAATAGATGCGGGGAATTGTCAAGTCAAACTCTTGATAAACATGAACCGCCAGCAGCAGCATTCACTCCTGATTCACAGAAGGAGGCCGTGAATGATATACTGATCTAGCGCTGTTGTTCTTTCATTCACTTATAAATAGTCCTAAAGGAAGATTTAGTGAACTTTTAGAAATTAAAATGACCAAGACATCGAGACAGAGGTGGCTATAATTATATATCCTGGTTGCCTTATTTCTTTAAGTTGAAAAAAATAACATTGAGTCCATTAACCTTATATTATGTTAAACTGACTTAAAACAGCTTGCATAACATAATAAACTTAGTTTAATAAGTTACAATGATCTAAAAACTGATCATATAATTTATTACACTGTAGCAATCACCAAATCGGTTTAATTGAGGTAAGGTTGGTTTTATATTCACACATTCTGACTTTCTCCTTAATAATACTATTTCAGAAAATTACTCTTTGCAAATATTAAATAGTGAAATCATATTATCAGCCTATAACTATGAAAGTATGACATTGTTCAAGTCAAATAAAGTGCTAAGTTAATATTGTTTTGAAGTCTTGCCTGTGTTTTAGACCGAATATTACCATGGTAAACAAGCATGTAACAAGATTTTCCTGAACGAATGTGCCAACTTTAAAACCAACTTTAGCTCAATCTTGGTTTAAAAGAACAACTCAGATCAAAAACTTTTGTTCTGTAAACCCATGAGGCCACACACACACACACACACACACAGAGATAACATTAGCAGCATTTTTAACAGCTCTACAGATAGTAAGAAGCGTGATGATCATGTTTTCATGGAGGTGAAGATCAGAGTCTGAGCACAAACAATCGCAAAACATCCATTCTGTTTATTTCTAATATCCAGAAACACAAACACACTCCTGCGCTCCTCCGCAGACACAAAACAGAGGCACAAGACAAAGTTTTGTCAAGAAATGACCTCACTATGAGCTCATGCTTTATATTAAGAGCAATTATAGGCTACGACAGCCTATGCAAAGTAAAAAGACGACTTAAATATATCCAAGAGGGTCTAATAGTCAAGAAAATAATACAACTGCGACAAATGCAATGCTATAAACAATATTAGAAATCCCTTCATAACAAGTCGGACCTGCCGCAAATACATTCTGCACTTTCCTCCAAAGGAGAATCACGGGATTCACAAAACACACAAAAAGTTGTTCTTTTAAATAAATAACCAGATAAATAAATAAATAAATAAATAAATTCACACCGACCTCAATTATGACATTTTTCCAAACAATAGTTGGTTTTATATTTGGGCATTCAGACTTTCTCCTTGATATTGTAATTTCGGAAATGTATTGTTTGCAAATTTGAAATAGGGAAATCATATATTCAGCCAATGGCTATAAAAAACAACACTGTTCACAGTCAATTAAATACTGCCAATTTTGTTATGAAGTCGTGCATATGATTTCAGACCGACTATTCAAAGTAGACCCGTGATAAACAATATACGGTGTGTCATTGAACGAATGCGCGAATGTAAAACACACTTCACTTCAATACAAAGTAGCATATAATGAATTAAAGGGATGAATAGCCTACTCCTTACTCAAATAAATAAAATTACAAGCACCCAAAAAATACATGCGCGTGTCTTTACAAACCAAAATCTGCTTGACAAGTTTTCTGTTTTGACGCGCATTTCTCGGATTTTCACAAGCCGACATCTGCGTAAAGTTTATTCCGCTCGTTCAGCAAACTTCAGCCCATGCAATACTAATCGATATTAGACATGTAAGCGATAATAAATACAGATAGAGTCTTACCTTGAGCCGCAGCGGAGCTTATGATGAGCGATAAAAGAGTAAAAACCCGCACAGAAATCATCATCATCCGCGCTAACAATCCCGATCCGCTCGCAGTCTCTCCACTTCTCCAACACATCATAACCAAATCACGCTGAAATCCGGGTGAAATGACCGGCAGAGCTTCTGGAGATGATGTCTGTAGTAGGAAACAGCCAAATAAAGCGCTGTTGTTGAAGAGAAACGGAGTGAAATATTGCCGGAAGCTTTTTATAAATATATTTTCCTCTTCTGACTGACAACGCCCGTCAAAACAGCACAGATTGGGTTAATATCCTCAGTTTCTCCGTCAGTCTCAGTTAAATCAGGTAAATCTCAGGTAAATCAGCTCTCCTGAGGTGAGCTCATGCTCAGGGTCTCCGTGTGTGAGTGAGTGAGTGTGTGTGCATGTGTGTGTGTGTCGGGGAAGTTGCTCCAGCGCGAGCTCCTCGCCTTCTGATGGAGAGTTGAAGAGGCGCGCGCGTCCCCGAGCCAACCATCGGAGCTCCAGCCAATCAGGAGCCTGCAATCGGAAAAAAGGTTTACCTTCACCAGATGGACAGTGATTGGCTGTGTCATCAAATGTGCTTTTTATTTGTACAGCATAACATTAAAGGCGACCTCTTGTGCAAAAAAGAGAGGCTTAAACAGTTGTGTCAGCAGTGTGTGAACTGTGAATATAAGCAGCTTCAAATGTTAAACATTTATTTATTGTATTTTTATAATCATGTTTATAAAAACAGTCTGCAAAAACACTTTGATTGACATTTCCCATTCTGTACGTGTCATCAGAGCGGGCCGCCTCTCCCTCATTAGCATAAACAGCAGCCCTGAGTGAGAAGCAGCCGTCTGTTGTTAAATTTAATTGATGATAATGACTGAAATGAATCGAGGTAAAGTTGCTTTTATTTTAGCACATTCTGACTATTTAATAAGACAGTAAAGCAGAATTTAAGAAAGGCTAAATACTGTGAAAAGCAATAGCTGTTCTCACTAATAAAATGAAGTGCAGTTAACTTATGAGTCTGTTCACCTTACAATATTTAAACAAAAATCCCAACGTTTTAGTACACCAAGTTGTTAAACTAAATAGATTTAAGTAATCTTGACTTACAATAATATGTCTTTACAACTTTTTATTAATTGTTCGTTCTGCTTTTGGCGACCCTGGATTAATAAAGGGACTAAGCCGAAAAGAAAATGAATGAATGAATAATACTGAAGCTGGAACATTATTTTCCCTATATATTTTACACTGAAAACCCTAATAAGTTGAATTAAGCTTAATTAATTGAGTAAACTCGTTGCCTCAATTTAATTGAGTAATGGACTCTCCCAAAACTTGCATATTTAAGTTTATTTAACTTGCCAGTTTTGTAGACTATACTTAAATTATTCAGTTGACTAAACTAAGTACTAAATTTGGTGAACTGAACAATTTAATTATAGTCTACAAAACCAGCAATATATATATATATATATATATATATATACACAGTTGAAGTCAGAATTATTAGCCCCCCTGTTTATTTTTTCCCTAATTTCTGTTTAACGGAGAAACGATTTGTAACACGTTTCTACACATGATAGTTTTAATAACTCATCTCTAATAACTAGATTTAATAATTTTTAATAATTTGATTTAGTTTCTCTTTGTCATGACAGAAAACAATATTAGACTAGATATTCTTCAGGACACCTCTATACAGCTTAAAGTGACATTTAAAGGTTTCACAAGGGTAATTAAGTTAACTAGGCAGGTTAGGGTAATTAGGCAAGTTATTGTATAACGATGGTTTGTTCTGTAGACTATTGAAAAATAATATAGCTTGAAGGGGCAAATAATTTTGTCCTTAAAATGTATTATAAAAATTAAAAACTGCTTTTATTTTAGCCGAAATAAAACAAATAAGACTTTCTCCAGAAAAAAAATATTATCAGACATACTGTGAACATTTACTGAATCTGTTCAACATCATTTTGGGAAATATTTAAGTAAGAAAAGAAAATTCAAAGCGGGGCTAATAACTCCGACTTTAACTATATGCATGTGTGTGCATGTGTGTAATAATACTACGAAAAAATGTTTATATTAATTAAAAAAAATATTAAAAATAAGTAGCCATTTATTGACATTATGTTGAATAATTATACCTGAAGCCAATTGTTTTCTGATTTAAAAAAATACCTTCCACTTAAAAGGTTGCACATATTAGAATTTTACAGTCAATACTACATTTGTGAAATGACCTGTTTTCTTTTTTCAAGGGATTAATTATGATTTTGAGCTCACTACACTTGAAATATTACGTTTATGCAATTATACACAAGTTAAATTAACTCATATTTTTAAGTGCAAAGTTTTAAGTTATGTTCAGTCAACTTTACTTAACTGTTTAAGACAATATTAGGGTTTGTTCACAGCATTTCCTCTAATATTTGTTCTTCTGGAGAAAGTCTGATTTGTTTTATTTGGGCTAGAATAAAAGCAGTTTTTAGTTGTTTTAAACCCATTTTAAGGTCAATATTACTAATATTAAGCAATATTAGTGTTGGATTGTCTCCAGAACAATCCTCTCTTATACAATGACTTGCCTAATTACTCTAACTTTACCCTAATTACCCTAGTGGAGCCTTTACATGCCACTTTAAGCTGAACACTAGTGTCTTGAAGAATATCTAGTCTAATATTATGTGCTGTCATCATGGCAAAGAAAAAATAAATCAGTTATTAGAGATGAGTTATTAACACTATTATGATTAGAAATAGTCTTTGTTAATTAGAAATTCAGAGGGGGGGGGGGGGTAATAATAAAACAAATATTATACTGTATATACAGTATTAGCTTTGGTGCCATATGCATTTCAGTGAGGAACGTTTTAATTAAGTCACCTTTATTTCCAAAAGTCCATCAATGCCAATTTATTATTTCCAACAGTGCATTCCTATTATATCATTAGCAAAAATTGCTTAGAAAAACAATCAGCCATTGTCAATACTGTTTATCTGTCTTCAGATTCATAAACTCCACCAAGTCAGCATGGCTAATGCCTTTATTTTAGTTAATGTTTCACTCTGGGTTCTGATTCATGACAGTAAGTCAACAAGAGCAAAACAAACCTCTCCAGAATCTAATCAACAAAACCCTAAAATGCATTTGCTTTCCTTATCACGGGCCTCCCGCTATTCGTTTAGCCCTGCTAATTGCCCCGGACCATGCTCTGTTGTCAGAAGGCATGATCGATAATTATGACAAGAAGAAAACCACAAAGCATGATAACTGAAGAGAGCTGGAAAAATCCTCCCGATAAGAGTCTCATCAATCTTCTGTATCTGCAGGTGTTTTTGCATGCAGCCTCTGTGTGTTCGTGATGCATGCATGATGTCATGGCTTAATGGTTAAGGATCCGGGCTGCTGATTTCAGGACTGCGGGTTCAAAGTGACCTGGAAACTGGAACGCCGCCCAAATTCCAGACCTGCCGGATCACCATTGTGCCCTGAAGCAAGACACTTAACCTCGGGTTTCTTCAAGGAGCACTTCAGTCGATCCTCGTGAGGAATCTACTAAATGGACACTAAGATAAACTCCGCTCTCTTTGTTTGGCTTTTTTTGGGGGTAGAATATAATTTATAAGGCAAAGATAAACAGACAACATAATGTCATTTAAAGACGCACTTTTTTTTTTCCACTCACTTGATTCACATTTACTGTGTAAAAGCCTCTGTAAATATTATGTGCTAGTGTAATGTTTACCGACAGAGGTAATGCAGTTTGCGGCAGGAGTAAGATCCCTCCGCCTTTAATCTCGCTGACTGACAGCTCAGAAAACCCATTTACTGAGGTGGTGGTTAGCATCATGGGTGGCCTGCATGTGTAACCTCAGACATGGTATTCCCAGTACACAGCGTTTTCTGATGATTCTGTCTGTGCACGCAACTCCACGCTCACACTTTGTTTGGCCACAATAGAACAGAGGCCTGTTGCACAAAGCTGGTTTGTATTTACACAGGTAAGTTCAGGTTAAGTTTGATCAAACTCTGAGGTTTTGGCTCAAGAAGGCAGGTTGGTTTTAATCAGGTATCATCACCATGGTAGCTGACGGCACATAAGTGGTTTAATCCTGGGTTTGAAATCGCAAACCAAAACTGAACCAATCAAAAGTCTTGCACAAAGGTTGTTTGTTTTTTACACGACTAAGTTTTGGTTAAGTTTAATCTTGTGTTCTGGTTATCTTCAGGTTGTATTCTGTTTATTTTCAGGTTATGTTCTGGTTATTTTCAGGTTATGTTCTGGTTATTTTCAGGTTATGTTCTGTTATATTCTGGTTATCTTTAGGTTGTGTTCTAGTTCTCTTCAGGTAATCGTCAGGTTATATTCTGGTTATCTTCAGGTTATGTTCTGTTATATTCTGGTTATCTTAAGGTTGTGTTCTGATTATCTTCAAGTTATATTCTGGTTATCTTCAGGTTATGTTCTGTTATATTCTGGTTATCTTAAGGTTGTGTTCTGATTATCTTCAGGTTATATTCAGGTTATCTTCAGGTTATGATCTGTTATATTCTGGTTATCTTTAGCTTGTGTTCAGTTTATCTTCAGGTTGTATTCTGTTTATCTTTAGGTTATATTCTGTTATATTCTGGTTATCTTAAGGTTGTGTTCTGGTTATCTTCAGGTTATATTCTGATTATCTTCAGGTTATATTCAGGTTATCTTCAGGTTATGTTCTGTTATATTCTGGTTATCTTTAGCTTGTGTTCTGTGTATCTTCAGGTTGTATTCTGTTTATCTTTAGGTTATATTCTGTTATATTCTGGTTATCTTAAGGTTGTGTTCTGGTTATCTTCAGATTATATTCTGGTTATCTTCAGGTTATGTTCTGTTATATTCTGGTTATCTTAAGGTTGTGTTCTGATTATCTTCAGGTTATATTCTGGTTATCTTCAGGTTATGTTCTGTTATATTCTGGTTATCTTAAGGTTGTGTTCTGATTATCTTCAGGTTATATTCAGGTTATCTTCAGATTATGATCTGTTATATTCTGGTTATCTTTAGCTTGTGTTCTGTTTATCTTCAGGTTGTATTCTGTTTATCTTTAGGTTATATTCTGTTATATTCTGGTTATCTTAAGGTTGTGTTCTGATTATCTTCAGGTTATATTCAGGTTATCTTCAGGTTATGTTCTGTTATATTCTGGTTATCTTTAGCTTGTGTTCTGTTTATCTTCAGGTTGTATTCTGTTTATCTTTAGGTTATATTCTGTTATATTCTGGTTATCTTAAGGTTGTGTTCTGGTTATCTTCAGATTATATTCTGGTTATCTTCAGGTTATGTTCTGTTATATTCTGGTTATCTTAAGGTTGTGTTCTGATTATTTTC